TGTGTGTGTGTGTGTGTGTGTGTGTTTTAGCGTGAGTATGCATGCATCCACACATGAACAGGTCCAAGGCCTTTATGTTTGCAAGCACACATGTACATATGTGAACGTGAACATGATCAACATGCTCCTGAACACTAATAGTTTCTATTACTTTCATTCTTTCCCATTCACTTTGAATGGCTGGACATTTTTGACCAGGAACACCACAGGTGTGACTTTGTGCCATTTTGTACAAAATAAAAGCATTTAAAAGCAAACTCCCTGATTAAACATTAAAGTACACTAGTGTGATAAACGATGCAAATTTTCATCAGTTTTTAGAATATTTTAAACTCACGTGCGAAAGGGTTAGACTTGCTGTACTGTTGTTTTTAGTAAATGCCGGACAGAGAAACTGCAGGTTCATTTAGTTCGCTGCTCGAGCTTGTTCTGTAAGGTAAGTTTTCAGTATGAATCTGATTTCACCTTAGCCTCGGTGTTTTTTAATGTTGTATAAATGACTATAAATAGGCTACTACAACTGATGATGAGTGGTCCGAAGTGTTTTGCTAGCGCTCGGCTGATGTTGACATGGCTATATCATTTTTTTTAATTTTCTTTTAGCCTAGCTATATATTTTTCCTAATGATACTATTAGCCTAAATATGCCGTCAATCGTCACGAAATATTTCTTAACCTTTGCTTTTAAGTATTTTCTTTATTTCTTATATCCAGGCGCCTATTAATAAAATAAAATAAAAATACTTATTGAGATTCATGCTCCCGGTTTCAATTACAGTTACTTACAAATGACTACAGACAATTCAGTTTCAGGCATTTTTATTTTCAGTTTCGTTTTTGACTGCAGTGCAGCAATGAGATCCTGCAGCCTTGGGTCACGCATTTCTTAATGCAATAAGCATCGCTACCATTAAATTTAACATAGTTCTTATTCAAAAAAACAGATGTTTTGTTTGTTTGTGCATTTTAATGACCAGTTGTGTAAGCTGTGCAAATGACAATTAAAATAGGCCTACCTGGCAAAGTTAAAGTGCTTTTAATGCAATTAGATTACTGGTCAAAAACTAAAACTAGTAAGACACAAAATTGGCTAAAACAGAACTTATAAAAATTCAAAGAGACACTTTGGGTTTGCTCTCAAAAGCATTGGAATATAGTTTCCCTTTCACCTAATTTTATTTCCATCACCAGTTTTAGGTTGTTTGCAAAAGTTTTATATAATGTTTCCTCCCCTACTATCTTAAAAATAAAGGCGCTTCACCATCAAAGCTGACAGGTTCACTGAAGAAGACAGAAAAACTGTGGAGAAGATTGAGAAGCTCTTGGGACGAGAGCGTCTCCAGAAAACCTGGATTCTCTTCACCAGAGGAGATGAACTGGAGGATGGAAACTTGACAATAAAAGAGTTAATCACTGAAAACAAACATTTGAAGAAACTCCTTCAGAAATATGACCAGAGATACCATGTGTTCAACAACAAGAAAAAAGGACACAGTGGACAAGTTACACTGCTACTTGCAAAAATTCTCAAGACGTTTCTTAAGAAAACAGGTGAGTCTTTTTGGTAATGTTCTAACTAGTCTTACTAACACTTCATATATTTTTTAACAGAAAAAGGAGCAGGGAAACTGGAGCAGCCTCCGCCGAAGAGATGCACATTAATGTCAAAAAATGCTAACGAATCCACAAGGATGGTGCTCCTGGGTGAAACTGGTGCAGGAAAGAGTGCAGCCGGTAACACCATACTGGGACAGAAGGTGTTCAAATCTGCAGTAACCAATACATGTTTAAAGAAACACGCCACGGTTGCAGGCAGGATAGTGTCTGTAGTTGATACACTTGATTTCTTTGACACAAAGAAGAACCCTGAGCAGTTAGTTAGAGAGACGGCGAGAAGCATTCATTTATCCAGACCCAGACCTCACGCTTTTCTCATTGCATTTCCTGCGAACATGAGGTTTACTGAGCGTGAGGAGCAGATTCCTCAGATGGTCCAAATACTGTTTGGAGAGGATGTGTTAAAATACTCCATTCTCTTCACTCATGGGGATCAGTTAGAAGGAGGGTCCATTGAGAAACGTATTGAGGGGAACTGTGCATTAAGACATCTAGTACGTGTGCAGTGTGGAGACCGGTATCATGTCCTCAACAATAAAAACATTAAAGATAGAAAGCAAGTCAATCATCTACTGCTGATGATTGACAGAATGATAGTGCAGAATGGCGGATACTACACTAATGAGATGCTTCAAGATTCTCAACAAGGGGAAGAACAGCTGACACAAAGGAGGGAGAGAAAAATAAGCATTCAAAGAAACTCTGGATATTCTTTTTTATCAGGGGATTGCCATCATTTTAACATGTTAGTTGTTGTAGTAAGTGTAGCTATTGGAGTTGGTCTTGGAGCTGTTTGCGGAGCTCCTGGAGGAGCTCTTGCTGCAGTTTTAGTGGAGGTGGTGCAGGTGGTATAGCTGGTAGTGCAGTTTTTGGTGGAGCTATTGGTGCAGCCGTTAGTGGAGCTGGTAGTGACTCTATTGGTCAAATTATTGGTGGAGCTGTTGGTGGTGGTGTTGGTTTCAAGGCTGGTGGAGATTTCGGTCATACTGTTGGTAGACCTTTAACTGGAGATGTTAGTGAAGCTCTTGCTGATGCTGTAGGTGGAGCTTATGGTGGCCATTTTGGTGGCAAAGTTGGTGGAGTTGTTGGTGGAGCTGTTGGTGGAGCTTTCAGACCTTTTAATGGAGCTGTTGGAGCTGTTAGTGGAGCTTGTGCTGGTGCTGTAGGTGGAGCTTTTGGCGGCTATGTTGGTGGCGAAGTTGGTGGTGAAGTTGGTGGAGCTGCTGGTTACATAGTTAGTGAAGTTTTTGGTAGCACTGCTGGTGATATTGCTGGATGCTTTGTTGGTGGAGCTGTTGGTGGCGTTGTTGGTGGAACTGTTGGTGGCATTGTTGGTGGAAAAGGAGAATGCGATTCCGCAGAAATACGTTTTTCAGAAATGTGAATCAGGTCCCTGTGCGTTTCTCCTGGTCATCAAAGCTGACAGGTTCACTGAAGAAGACAGAAAAACTGTGGAGAAGATTGAGAAGCTCTTGGGACGAGAGCGTCTCCAGAAAACCTGGATTCTCTTCACCAGAGGAGATGAACTGGAGGATGGAAACTTGACAATAAAAGAGTTAATCACTGAAAACAAACATTTGAAGAAACTCCTTCAGAAATATGACCAGAGATACCATGTGTTCAACAACAAGAAAAAAGGACACAGTGGACAAGTTACACTGCTACTTGCAAAAATTCTCAAGACGTTTCTTAAGAAAACAGGTGAGTCTTTTTGGTAATGTTCTAACTAGTCTTACTAACACTTCATATATTTTTTAACAGAAAAAGGAGCAGGGAAACTGGAGCAGCCTCCGCCGAAGAGATGCACATTAATGTCAAAAAATGCTAACGAATCCACAAGGATGGTGCTCCTGGGTGAAACTGGTGCAGGAAAGAGTGCAGCCGGTAACACCATACTGGGACAGAAGGTGTTCAAATCTGCAGTAACCAATACATGTTTAAAGAAACACGCCACGGTTGCAGGCAGGATAGTGTCTGTAGTTGATACACTTGATTTCTTTGACACAAAGAAGAACCCTGAGCAGTTAGTTAGAGAGACGGCGAGAAGCATTCATTTATCCAGACCCAGACCTCACGCTTTTCTCATTGCATTTCCTGCGAACATGAGGTTTACTGAGCGTGAGGAGCAGATTCCTCAGATGGTCCAAATACTGTTTGGAGAGGATGTGTTAAAATACTCCATTCTCTTCACTCATGGGGATCAGTTAGAAGGAGGGTCCATTGAGAAACGTATTGAGGGGAACTGTGCATTAAGACATCTAGTACGTGTGCAGTGTGGAGACCGGTATCATGTCCTCAACAATAAAAACATTAAAGATAGAAAGCAAGTCAATCATCTACTGCTGATGATTGACAGAATGATAGTGCAGAATGGCGGATACTACACTAATGAGATGCTTCAAGATTCTCAACAAGGGGAAGAACAGCTGACACAAAGGAGGGAGAGAAAAATAAGCATTCAAAGAAACTCTGGATATTCTTTTTTATCAGGGGATTGCCATCATTTTAACATGTTAGTTGTTGTAGTAAGTGTAGCTATTGGAGTTGGTCTTGGAGCTGTTTGCGGAGCTCCTGGAGGAGCTCTTGCTGCAGTTTTAGTGGAGGTGGTGCAGGTGGTATAGCTGGTAGTGCAGTTTTTGGTGGAGCTATTGGTGCAGCCGTTAGTGGAGCTGGTAGTGACTCTATTGGTCAAATTATTGGTGGAGCTGTTGGTGGTGGTGTTGGTTTCAAGGCTGGTGGAGATTTCGGTCATACTGTTGGTAGACCTTTAACTGGAGATGTTAGTGAAGCTCTTGCTGATGCTGTAGGTGGAGCTTATGGTGGCCATTTTGGTGGCAAAGTTGGTGGAGTTGTTGGTGGAGCTGTTGGTGGAGCTTTCAGACCTTTTAATGGAGCTGTTGGAGCTGTTAGTGGAGCTTGTGCTGGTGCTGTAGGTGGAGCTTTTGGCGGCTATGTTGGTGGCGAAGTTGGTGGTGAAGTTGGTGGAGCTGCTGGTTACATAGTTAGTGAAGTTTTTGGTAGCACTGCTGGTGATATTGCTGGATGCTTTGTTGGTGGAGCTGTTGGTGGCGTTGTTGGTGGAACTGTTGGTGGCATTGTTGGTGGCATTGTTGGTGCCATTGCTGCTGGGCCTTTGGCTTTAGTTACTGGAGGACCTGCTGGTGGAAATGTTGGTGGAGTTATTGGTGGAGTTTTTAGTGGTGCTATTGAAGGAGCTTCTAAAAGAGCTAATAGACGAGCTAATAGAAGTGTGTGTGTAGATTTTGATAGAATCTAAAATAAACATTTAGTCACAGATTCATATTTGAATCCAGTTATTTATTCACCACTAAGAGACTTTGAGACTTCCAAAGCAATTACTCTACATATAACATTGCAGCGATCAGGCTTCTGTCGTTCATTAAACAAGGCGAAAGAAAGTTACAATTAGCAAACTACTCCTAGTCAGTAGTACCGGAAGAAATTGGATCATTTTGATGTGAACAGTTTTAACACTAAGCACAGCTAAACACAGTATTTGGTTAGAGAAAATGTAAATGTATAGAATAAGTAGCATAGATTTTAAAAATGGGTAGGGACATATAAAAATATATGTATCCATGTAGTGTAGGCCAGATCATAAGAGACCAGGTTTAGCAGGTTTTTTTTAATGAACCTGATAGGGGATCAGCCAAACTTAAAATGAACATCTGCCGCTTTTTTTGCCTTTAGCAGGTTTACTTTGAAATCTTGCTTGACTTACATCTTTTTTTTAAATAAGTGAATAATTTTCAGTGTTTGTCTGTTAATGTATATCAGTAGTTGTTTTTGTATCTGTATCTACTGTAAATGTATACCTATGCACACAATGAAATTAGGGATGAGATTACTTTCCTGATGACGATGGTGAAGCTGGAGGTGTTTTGTTGTCATCTTTAGACATCGGTCTGTGACATTAAGTTTAATTAATTATTATAGATATACACATAAAGGTATCATAAAACTGAAAAAAGTATTGGGTGTGAAGTTATGATGTTGAGAGAGACAAGAAAGATGATCTTTCTTGATTATCTCCTCACTGCAGCATCTGTCTGGCTGTTAGAAAAATGTAAACTGCCAACACAGTTGACTGATTTATGAGAAACCAAATGTTTTATACTGCAAAATCTCATATAACATAAAATTGATCATAAAGCATGTTATTCAGCCAATTACTCAGATGGATATAATTGCATGAGTTCAACTCTCATTAACATTCATTTTAACGACTAAATGTACTTGATGGAAAAATAAATCTAATGTGAATAATTTGTAACTTCATGATGCTCTGTTTGATATTAATAAAGCTTTTTGTTGACATTTTTGCATGACTTCTGTAACCCTGCTTTTCTCTAAATATGAATAGAAGATAACTACACTTTCAATGAGTTTAGATTTTTTAAATAATGTATTCATTAAATTGAAAAAAAGATTAGAATCACAGGACTGTGTGTTTTAATTTCTTTGTCAGAACCAATCAAAATGGGTCTACTGGCATTCACTACAGTAACCACAACATTTTACTGCTAATTTGCATACTAAGACGTACTATTCAAGGTGTTTTTTGACAGAGACATCAATTTAACAAAAACTGTCACCCATACACGTCTTTTGACCAATGAATTTCCAAAAATGTTCAGTCTTGATTACTGAATAATGCTAGTATTCGGCACTGACAGGGAAGCGTGAGATTTCGACTGTATGTTTCACGGTTATAGTTATTGAAATGACATAACGTTTTGATGTTTTAATGATAATACTTGGGTAAATGTCACAATATCCATCTAATCTGCTAAAAAGCATTTCATATTTATTATTCTCAACAAAACAAAAGATGTGGCGCAGGCGTACAGACTTCCCACATGTACCACCCTTGTTTCGTTACATATAAAACAAACCTATTCTGGATAATAATAAAGCGTTTTTACGTAAATGCAATCCTTATCCTAAGGTATTTGGCCAAAATCTTCCAGATCACTATTCAATTGTTTCTCTGCACAGTATAATCAGAGATGGGTAGATAAAAAATTGTAATCTGTTTCTGATTCCAAATTACATGACAATGTAATCCATTATTTCACATTTTAGGTAATATAATCCGACTACTTTTAGATTACTTTTGACCTAACTCGTTTATCACGTTGATTTAAATAGAATGATCTTGCACCACACTGATATAAAAATACAAAGAGTAAGAAAATATATTCCATTTGTTGTAATTATCAACATGAAGTGCATTAAACATTATATTACATCAAGGTTTCCCAAACTGGGGTTCGTAAAGGAACTGCAGGAGGTTCACGGGTTTAATGAAAAGCTAACAAATAATTAAATCATAAAAATGTAAATCATTTTAAAATAACAATCAAAATAAAACACTTACTAAAAAAGATGACTTTTATGTTTACCTGCATGTGACCAGAGAAACCTGAACATGCAAATGTGACAGGCCTACTTAATTAGGCCTATTAAAATATGTATTTTTAAAATCTCAGGGGAATTTTAAGTACACATATTAGGTGAAAGAGGTTCAGATGCCAAAAAGTTTGGGAATGTCTGCGTTACATGTAGGTAAATAAGAAATAACGTGAACATGTGCATTTTTAATGTGTTTGAAAGACAAAAGCCTTCCAAAGCTATATTAATACATGGTCAAATAACTTACTGAGCGATAATTCAAATAAAAATGAATGTGTTCATCAGTAGCCTAGTTGATGCAATGTTGAAACACTTCTTAAACCTGAAATGATTTTTGTAAATCTAGTGGTCAAATGCTGTGTGTCCACCTTCTTTGTGTCAGTCTCCACAAAACTGGACTTTCTGAGTGTAGCGGTAAGCTATTTTAGAAAGGAGAATTTAAAAGAGGAATTAGGGAGAATCAGTAAATTATGAATAATTTATTGATATTGTGTGAACAATATGTAACAAATAAAAAAGTAACTGTAGTCTGATTACAAGTATTTTAAAATGTAATTTACTCTAATTACAAGTACTTAATTTTTGGAATCTGATTACGTAATCCGGATTACATGTAATCAGTTACTGCTGTTTCAGTTCATTGTCCTTCAAAACTGACGCATGCGCAGACGCTCAGTTCCTGTGTCGCCATGTCTGCTACGCATGCGCATTGTCGGGCTCAAGCGGCACTATATATCAGCTGCCGAGCCTCTGCCCCATTCCACCTTCAGCCATTTTAACGATGTTGGGAGTTGTGGGACGCTGCTGCACCGGGGCTTTGCAAGCTCTCAAGCCCGGGGTGACCCCCCTGAAGGCTCTCAACGGAGCTCCAGCAGCGCTGTTTTCTCGTAAGTACAATTCATTGGTTGGTTTTTAAAACGGTTGGGTTTAACGCAGCTAGCCCTTCAGCAGCCTCATGCTAAATGGCAGCAAGTGCAGGCCGCAAAGTCCTAACCTCACCGTTTCCAGTGATTGCTTTCGCGTGATGTGCTACACGTAAGAAAGAAACTGGCTGGAAATAAACTGACATAACGGAATGCTTCATTTGACGACAACAGCTCATTCTGGTGGGCATGAAAACAGGAATGACCTTTATGTGTCTAGCGCTGCTAGCTGTGCTCGCAGCTCGCGAGGTCACGGTAACGTACGGATAAACATGTTGAATAAATGCAACCACATTTACAGTCTCGAAAGACAGATCCCAACAGATTGAGATTTTCTACAACATCGACTTGCTTGCGTTCATTCATTAGCCTGTTTTGACTTCTCGGGACGCTGAGCAAACACAAACTATAGTGACTAATCGAAATAAAAGCGTTCAAGTGCGCATGTACATATATATTTTTTTAGATGTTTCAATTGCAAAAAATGTTATTACCCGTGTCAGTTACATGCGATGTTTCTCTTCCTCTCTCAGGCAGGGGTTATGCCGCTCCTGCCGCAGCTGCTGCCGTCGCCAGCGGGCGTATCGTCGCGGTCATCGGTGCCGTTGTGGACGTACAGTTCGACGAGGATCTGCCCCCTATTCTCAATGCCCTGGAAGTGGCCAGCCGTGACACCAGGCTAGTCCTGGAAGTGGCTCAGCATCTGGGTAATGAGACCAAAGCGTTTGAATCCGAATTGAAAAGTCGCATAGACTTGCAAAGTAACTGTTTTTGCTCTTCTGTAGGTGAGAACACCGTCCGCACCATTGCTATGGACGGTACCGAGGGGCTGGTGCGCGGTCAGAAGGTTCTTGACACCGGTGGCCCCATCAGAATCCCTGTGGGACCTGAGACACTCGGCAGGATCATGAATGTCATCGGCGAGCCCATTGACGAGAGAGGCCCAATTACCACAAAACAGTGAGTTTATTAAGAACACTAAAGCAACTTAATCGTGTTTTGCTAGCTCATTTAAGGAGCATTAGTCCTCTTGTGAAGTAGACAATTGAATGTTTGAGATGCAGGCAGATGTTGAGCTGATTGTGATCTGTTGTTCAGGACTGCCCCCATCCATGCGGAGGCCCCAGAGTTCACAGACATGAGTGTCGAGCAGGAGATTCTGGTCACAGGAATCAAGGTCGTAGATCTGCTGGCACCCTATGCCAAGGGTGGCAAGATCGGTATGTGTGTGGATATACTACTGTTAAAAAAAGATTGGGCTCAGGTATTTTTTAATG